AAGTCCAATGAACCCCAAACAGTATAGACCCTAAAAGAAAAACACCAAGACATCTCATCATCAAACTCACCAAAGACAAAGAAAGAATCATAAGAGCAGCACAGGAAAAACGAAACATTACCTACAAGGGGCAACCAGTAAAACTAAGCTTGGTTTTCTCAACAGAAACCATGCAGGAGAGAAGACAGTGGGATGGTATATATAAAACCCTGAAAGAGAAAACTTTCCAACCAAGAATTATGTACCCAGCAAAATTGTCCCTCAAATATGATGGTGAAATTAAGACATTTCCAGATAAGCAGAAATTAAGGGAATTTGTTAAAACCAGACCAAACTTACAAGAGATGCTGAAGGGAGCCCTTTGGACAGAGAAGCAACAACAACCAACAACAACTGACCATTAACACACATGATGATATAACCCAGACACCAACCCAGCTATGGAAGTATCCAAAATAAATAAGCCTATGAGATTGTAAACAGGGTACCAGAGACATCAATTGACAAATGAGGACAACTACAAACCAAAAAGAGGGGAAAAAAATCTGTTGTTACAGAACTTCTAGATGGTAGGGAAGTCAAGAAAACTACAAGATAGAATGGAACTAAACTTGGGAAGAAAACTATAAATCACAGGATAACCTCAAAGAAAAATGATAAACCTTCACATCAAAATAAAAAAGACCAGCATAAATATTCAGCAAACACTAAAACAATAGCAATGAAGGAAGTGATAACACGATTCATAAACAAAATGAGCTCAGCATAGAAAACTATATGGAACAAAGAAATCAACACAATGAAAAAGCACATGACAAAAATGACAGCAACAAATTCATATTTGCTGATAATTACATATCTGGCAAGGGACTTACCTCTAAGATTGATGGAAAACTCCAATGCCTCAACACCAAAGGAATCAACAGTCCAATTGAAAAATGGGCAGAAGACATGACTAGACACTTCACCAAGGAGGATATTCAGGTGGTTAGCTAATACATGAAAAGATACTCACAATCATTGGCTATCAGAGAGAAGTAAATCAAAACAACAATGAGATAAACCATCTCACCCCAGCACTGATGGCAAGGTTCAATGAGACATAAAATAAGAAATGCTGGTGGGGATGTGGAGAGATTGGGACTCTCATACACTGCTTGTGTGACTGTGAAGTGACACAACCACTATAGAAAGCAATATGGTGATTCCTTAGAAAGTTGGAATTGGAGATACCATTTGACCCAGCAATCCCATTACTAGGTATATATCCTAGGGAAGTAAGAGCCAGGATAGGAACAGACACATGCATGCTCATGTTCATCACAGCACTATCTACAATAGCAAAAAGATGGAAACAACCTACGTGCCCATCAGCGGAAGAGTGGATGACCAAACTATGGTATATACATATACTGGAATGCTCTGCAGCACTAAAGAATAATGCAGAGTCTGCAAAACACCACATAATATGGGTGAACTTGGAGGACATTATGCTGAGTGAAATAAGTCAAACACAGAAGGTCAAATATAGTATTAGTTCGTTGTTGTGGAGGGTCAAGGAAAGGTTTATATATGGAGAGAAACTTTCTTGGTTGCCAGGGGTGAGAGGGGAGGGGAGGGAACACTGAAAAAAAAAATGCATTGACCCATGTCACTTTAGTTTTGTGTACTTCACTGTACATAAATTATATTTCAATAAAATGCATTAAAAAATCCTCACAAGCTGGACCAATAAGCAATATCATGATAAATAGAGAAAATATTGAAATTGTCAAGGATTTCACTTTTATTTGGATCCACAGTCAACACCCAGGGAAGCAGTAGCAAAGAATCAAATGACGTACTGCATTGGGAAAGTCTATCTCTTTAAAGGGAAAAATATGTCTTTAAAGTGTTAAAAACTAAGACTAAGGTGTGCTTGACCCAATCCATAGTATTTTCAATCACTTTGTAGCATGCAAAAGCTGGACAACTAATAAGGAGGACCGAAAAAGAATTTATCCCTTTGAGTTATGGTGTTGGTAAAGAATATCAAACATACCATGGACTGCCAGAAGAATGAAGAAATCTGTCTTGGAAGAAGCACAGCCAGAGTGTTCCCTAGGTGTGAGGATAGTGAGGCTTCTCTCGTATTTTGGTCATATTATCGGGAGGGACCAATCCCTGGAGAAGGATATGATGTTTGGTGAAAAAAAGGGGAAGACTCTCAATGAGAAGGATTGACACAATGGCTGCAACAAAACAGCAATGATTGTAAGGATGGTGCAGGACCAGGCAGTGTTTCAATGTGTTGTACAAGTCACTGTGAGTTGGAACAGACTCAACAGCATCTAACAACAACAACAATGAAACAGCTGTACTCAGGGGCTGTTGCCACTCCCCACCTCACAGACATTGACAGTGGTTTTAAACACACCTACACACATGCACATCTACACATACATGCACACCTACACATACATGCACACCTACACATACATACACACCTACACATACATGCATGCCTACACATACATGTACACGTATGTGTGTGCTCCAGATAATTGAAAAAGGTATGGAGCCCTTTACTTTGACCATTATAGATTTGCTTCTCTACTGACTACACTTTGGGAAGATTCAACCCACATCAGGGAAGGTTCTTGCAAGTCTCCCTATGAAACCCACTGATGTGTTTCCTTTGTTATTGTTGAAGGTATAGTTCATGACCATGCATTAAATGTGCTCATATGAAGACCTGAGAGAGATATTTCTCTCTGCTCAGCACCAGCATTTGTTGTGTTTCTTTCAGGCAACTAGTTTCATGCTCCATTGTCTCATGGATCCCATGTGTTACGTAATTTATATTTCCTTCTTTGCTTTGCTGCTAAGAAGCTCAGGTGCAAAACTGTGATCACACTCTACCATGCATTTGGTGTACAGACCTTACTCCTGGATTGACTATCTATCTACCTACCTACCTACCTATCTATCTATCCATCTATCTGAGAAACAAAAAAGACCTATTCCACAGTGCTGTGAGAATCAGTACCTAGGTCCCGTATTTGTAAATGTTAATGTGCTGGGCACAGGCTCCTTTGTAAAGTCCTCACCCTGCTGCCTACCCCACACAGAACTAGCCCACCCTCCTCACAGCCACCTGTGTTTTTTCCATGTCAGAGCCATCATCCCCCTGTCTATTTACTCGTCTACTCCCAGCACACCCCATCTCCCCCAGGCAGGGACTATGTCTGGTTCACTCCCATGGCCCCAGAGCTCAGCTCAGTCCCTGGTGTGCTGACCTTCATGAATGAAGTAGGAATTTTCTTTCATTTTCAGTTTAAAAGCATCAACCAAGGCAAGAAAACTAGTGTTGCTGACTCTATGCTGCGGATGCTGGAGAAGTATTCCCAGAACCTGGAGGACCTGATCCAGGAGCGGACTGAGGAACTGGAGCTGGAGAGACAAAAGACAGAAAGACTCCTCTCTCAGATGCTCCCCCCGTGAGTGGCCCTTGGGGTTTGATACACTAGGAGTTCTGTTGGCATAGTGGCTAAGGCATGTGACTGCTAACCAGAAGGCTGGTGGTTCAAACCCACCAGTCACTCCTTGGAAGGGATTGGGCAATCTACTTCTGTAGAGATACCACCTTGGAAACCCAAGGAGGGATCGCTGTGAGTCAGATCTGACTCGATGGCAGTGAGTTAGCCTGAGCTCTAAACATAGGACCTGGAACATAGCAAGTACTCAGTAAATCTGGGCTCCATGAATTTATTCAATGCTTACTTATACAACATATTTTTAGAGAGCCTTTATCATGTGGTGAAGGAGCTCTGGTGGTATAGTGGTTAAGACATTTGGTTGTGAACCAAAAGATCAGTAATTCTAACCTACCAGCAGCTCCATGGAAGAAAGATGAGGCAGTCTGCTTCTGTAAAGATTTACAGCCTTGAAAACCCAATGGGAGTTGCTATGAGTTGGAATTGACTCAATGACGGTGAGTTTGGTTTTGGTGTCATTTTCTAAGAAAACCTGGTGGTATGAGAGTTAAGTCTTGGCTGCTAACCAATACTTCAGTGGTTTGAATTTACCAAAAGGCTCCATGAGAGAAAGACCTGGAGATCTGCTATTAAATATTGCAGCCTAGAAAATCTTCCGGGGCAGTTCTACCCTGTCATATGGGGTTGCTATGAGTCAAAATTGACATGATGGCACCCAACAACTATCATGTGCTGGGCACTATACTGGGCACATGAATGTTGAATTTCTGCTGTCTCATACCCTTGGAGGAGCTCTGGTAGCATAGTGCCTAAGACACCTGACTGCTAACCAGAAGGCTGGTGGTTCAAACCCACCAGCCACACCTCGGAAGGAAGGTTGGGCAATCTACTTCTGTAGTGATACCACCTTGGAAACCCAAGGAGGGGTCGCTATGAGTTGGGTCTGACTCAACAGCACATAACAACAACAACAACAACATACCCTTGGGAGCCAGGAGAGTCACAATATCTCCCATCTCACTTTAGAGGAAGTAGTGTTCAGAGATGGAGTTCCTGGGAGGTGCAAAGAGTTAAGTGCTTGACTACTAGCTGAAAAGCTGGCAGTTTGAACACACCTAGAGCCACCTTAAGGCTGGCGGTTCAAACCACCAGCCACTCCTCGGAAGGAAGATGGGGCAATCTACTTCCGTAGTGATACTGTCTCGGAAACCCAAGGAGGGGTCGCTATGAGTCAGGTCCAACTCAATGGCACATAACAACAACAACAACAACAGAGCCACCTTGGAAGACAGGTCTGGCCATCAGCTTCCCCAAAGTCACAACCTTGGAAACCCTATGGAGCATTTCTGCTCTACATACTTGGGGTCATTATGAGTCAGACATGACTTAACAACACCCACCACCACCACCACCACCAATGTCCAGAGACAGACAGGTATTTACTTGAGGCCAGCCAGCACACCAGCACACCTGTCTTGGTGCTAACCCATGATTTCCCCAAAAAATATCTCTCTCTCTCACCTGAAAACTATAAAGAAGAGGACCTTCCATTTTGTGACTCTGGTTCCTCCCATCCATTCAGGTCTGTGGCAGAAGCTCTGAAAATGGGGGCGACGGTGGAGCCGGAGTACTTTGACCAGGTTACCATATACTTCAGTGACATTGTGGGTTTCACCACTATCTCAGCCCTGAGTGAGCCCATTGAGGTGGTGGGCATGCTCAATGACCTCTATACATTGTTCGATGCTGTCCTGGGCAGCCATGATGTATATAAGGTGAGGGTACTAGAAGGTTGGCATCTATCTATCCTCCCATCCCCACTGTTTCTGTGCCCTTGTAAATTTACTGCCATGTATTTATTTGTTTATATCAGTTAGCTATTGCTGTGTAACAAAGAATCCAAAAACCCAATGACTTAAAACCATAAGCATTTGTTATTGCTCACAAGCATGTGAGTCAGCTGGAAAGTCTCCTTTGACTTAGCTGGACTCACTCATGCATCTGTGGTTAGCTATGGGTGAGGTAGGCAGCTCTACTGATCTTGGTTGGCCTCTCTCAGATCTCTGGAGCTGTGGCTGGGACAACTCAGTCCTGGTCCACTGGTCTCTCATCCTCTAGCTGGAATGGTTTACATGGTGGTGGCAAGGTTCTGAGAGAGAGCCAAAGTACTCAAACCTCCTGGGATATAAGCTGGGACCAGGCATAGTGCTGTTTCTGATGTCATTTCTACTGGTCAAAGCAAGTCATAAGGCTAGCCCAGATTCAAAGGGTAGGGAAATAAACTCCACTTTTTTTTTTTTTTTTTTAATTTTTATTGTGATTTGGGTGAAAGTTTACAGAGCAAATCCATTTTCCATACAGCAGTTCATACACATTTTGTTTCATGACATTGACTGCAATTCCCCATAATATAACAGCTCTTTTTCCACTTCTTCCTCATAGTTACCCCTCCCCTGTGTCCTTCCCTCCCATGCACCCATACCCCCTGAGCTACCTTCCTTTGCAAACACTGCCCTTGTGTTCTTTTGCGATTGATCACTCCAAGGAGTGTATCTACCTGGTGTTCACCCTATATGCCTGTCTGTTGTTTAGCTGGAAGCTGCAGGGGTGAGTTCAGTTCCAGATGTGAAGGCTAACTAGGGGCCATAGTCTCGGGGTCTCACTAGGCTTTATTGGATCAGTAAACCTAGTCTTTTTTTTTTTTTTTTTTAATGATTTTGAGTTTTGTTTTACATTGTTCTCCCACTCTATCCAGGATCTTAAACTCCACCTCTTGATGGGAGTTGCTGCAAAGTTACATTGCAAAGGGTGTAAATGGAGGAGGGAGAGTCTGGACCTATTTTGCAATTAATTGACCATAGTGTTCATTTGTCCTTTGTACATCTATCCATGCATCCATCTATTCATTCCTTCAAAAAGCTTTTATTGACTGACTTTTCTGTGCTAGATCCTGTGCTGGGCAAGGGCTCCTTCAAGGAGTTCTCAGTCCTGTCAAAAAAGGGTAATGACCGCCCATAGTGAGAGTGATGACCAGAGGAAAGCTTGATGGGTTGTGGTGGCTTGACATGAAGTGGGTCAATGGGGAGGATGGGTGGGGACACTGGAGAGGGCAGTAGGGGCTTATGTGGAGCTGTCAAGACCATCCATGATCTAGGTCCTGCACACCTCTCAATCCTAGAGCACACACCAGCTTTTGTGTGACTTTGAGCAAATGGCTTCCCTTCTCTGAGCCTGTTTTCCCATCTGTATAGCAGGAATAATGACTCCAGTCCTAGTGGACTCACTGTTGGAGGGTCCAAGCTCCCACATAGAGTGCTGTGTCAACTGTGCGGTAGTGAAGGTGAATAGCCTCCTGCCCTCTACTCTTCAGTTCTACCCTCTGCTTTGGGGACTTCCCCAACTCCAATCTTGCCCCTTTTTCTGATAAGTCTAGAGCCTTGGCTCAGCTTCCGACACAGTGAAGGAGGTGGAGAAGGACGTTCCAGGAAAGTCACACTCAGGTCCATTGGCTTTAGCCTTTGTTTGTGACCCACCAGCCCCCTTCCTGCCACAGCTCTCCAATGAGCCAGGGCCAGGGCCAGGTGAGGACCAAGGCTGAGGGCTGCAACCAGGATGGAAAGGATGCCTGGGCAGGAAGTTTCAGAAGAGAGAGCTAACACTGTGAGATTTCAGGCACTCTGCTGACAACATGGTTTACCTTATCCCAACAACAATCACCAACACTAATTGAGTGCTTACTGTTGTTAGAAGTTGATTTGAAAGCTTTATGTATATTAAACCATTTCATCATCATAATAATCTATGATATAAGTAATGTTACCCGTAGTTTGAGATGAGGAAACTGAGGTGATAGAGTGACTTGTCCAATGACATTCCCAATGGGATGTGGAGATTAGATTTGACCCTGGCCTTTCTGGTACCAAGGTCACACACCCTACTGTATGTCATCATGGGTGCCCTCAGGACAAAGTCAGAGGTTCAGGAGCTGGCCCCGCCCACCTCCCCACTGTATCTCTGGCCACTCTCCCTCTTCAGACCTCTATCTCCCTCACACATGCTTTGCTCTCTCTAACCGTCAGGTCTTCGCACATGTTGTTGCTACTACCTGGAACTCTGCTTTCCCTCCTCTCCCCTGGCTCCCTCCTGGTGGTTTTTCTAACCTCAGGTTAGCCTCCTTTACCCTCTCAGAGCCTCTGTTTGATATTCTCATAAGCTTCCCTGGACAACATCTCTGTACTTTATAATTTCTACCCTAAACCTCTCTGTCTCCAGTACCTGGCAGCGTCCAACACATAGGAGGTTCTCAGGAAATGGATGGTAATTGAATAAGGAGGACACTGAGGCCCAGAGAGGGATGTGACCTGCCCAAGGTCATACAGCTGGTAGGCAGCAGAGCCAAGGACAGGAACCCACAAGTCCATGGCTGTCTGTTCTACCACACACCCCAACATTGCCTGCGGAGTCCTGAGCCCCCAGCATTCCAAGGATGAGCTTCCCTGTGAGTCCGTATTCAGGATCCCATGACCCGCCCCGGCCTGTGGTTCTGAGGCATTGTCTCTGATGCTAGCTGTACTTCTCTCTTGCCTCCAGAGCCGCCCTGGCCTCATGGGCCCCAGGAAAAGATTCCACATCTTGTCTCACTAAGCCCCACAGCTTTGATCTGGCCCTGAGTCACCCCTGGCCCTGTCTTTTCCTCCCCTGCTAATCTTTTCTCACACATGTGTTCCTCCCAGCTCTGAATCACGCTTTCTGATGTGCTCTGAACTCTGGCCAAGAGGTCTGCATCTTTCTAGCAGAGTGAAATGAAAGAAAACAAGAGCTGCACACCCCTCCAGATGTGGGGAGACAGGAGGCCCGCTCCTCGTGATGTGTGAGCAAGTCTCTCATCACTTACGCTGGCCGCCTCGGTTTCCCCTCAGCCCCAACGGGATCTGGTTACCGCTCTTTAATCCGGTCTGGGTTGGGAGGCAGCCAGGCAATCATTTCCTGGTTCTGCAGGGATCTGCAAATCCCTCCCAGCACTCATTGAGTGAGCACTTTTATGGACATAGCTCCAGAGCCGAGGCCCTGTGGCCTGCGGGAGAGGAGAAGATCCACCCCGCCCTCAGTCCTGTCCCTGCTTTCTGGTGCGTCTCTGGGCACCTCACTTTGCCTCTCCAAGCCCAGGTTCCTCATTTATAAAACAGGGATAAAGTGCTCACTGCTTAGGAATTTTTCTGAAGAACAAGTAATGTGAGAGAAAGTGCTGTCCTTCACTCATTCACCAACATCGTATCTAGCACCTGCCACATACCAGGGATTGATGTCTCCTCCAAAAGCAGGGAAGGGCAGAGGCACTGGCAGTAGTTATGAGGAGTGTGAGCCAGACCTAGAGATTTTCATAGGGTATCTCATTTCACTCTTTTAAGGCCCCTCAAAGGGATGTACCATTAATTCCATTTGCTGATGAGGACTTAGGCTCAGAGTGGGTAAGCGGCTGACCCAAGGTCACACAGCAAGGCAGTGGTGGAGTTAGAATTTACATCTGTGTCTGCTAGTATGCATTCTTTTCTCTCACCTCTCCTCTGGCTGCATCCTTAGTCTGCACCAGGACCCAAGCACGTGTACAGGGAGCCACAGCCCCTCTTGTGACAAAGTGTCTACTATGACAGGCATTTTTGAGAGCATTGCTTTTATGAGTTTGAGCTCCTAGAGAGCAGGGCCTGTATCCTGGTCATCTTTCTCTCTTTGGGGGATGTAGGGATGATGATTAATGACACTACACTCTTTCAGTCAGGAGCCAGCTGAGAGATAGATGTAGGTGTCAGGCAGGCGTTGGGCTAGATGTCAGCTTAAGCAGCCTGGAAAAAGTGTTCTGGCTGAATGGCCACTATGAGGCTTTCTGCTACTTCCCCTCCCTACCTATTCTGGACCTTGGGGTACCCAACAGAGCCAGGTCTCAGAGCAGGTGCACTCTCCCTGAATCACAGCTGCCCAGTTTCCTGTCTGATAGTGGGGCCAGAGAGGAACAGGCCTCCAGAGCTGCTTCCAGAAGGCAAGTCCCGACCCTAATGCATACATGCTGACCATGTGCAGGACAAAACCTCCATGTGGAAGGCAAATGCCCCTAAAAGAGAGAAAGAGCCCAAACCATATATACAACAGGACTCTGGAGCTGCACTGACCATGTTCAAATCCACTTACTAACTGTGCTGTATGACCTTGGCAAGTGACTTAACCTCTCTAGCCAGTTCCCATCTGGAAAATGGCAATGGTAAGAGTACCTACCTCACAGAATCTTATGATGGTCTAGTGGGTTAATACCCTAAAGAGTTTGGAAGGGTGTCTAGCACCTAATAAATGCTATTAAAGTATTTAGAGAGTACTTGTCCTTCTCCCAAATCTCTTCAGTTGAATAAGGCATTCTTCCTCTCTTGGGGAGAAGGAGGGGCAGAAGGAAAGGCAGGGGTCTCTCATCTTTTTCCCTCCAGGGGTATGGAATGAAAGGTCTCTCTTCTTGATGGAAATTTCCACAGCAGAGTTAAACCTGGCCCCCTAACCTGGTCATATTAACAGCCAGCCTACAAATGCTGGAGGGAAAATAGCAGGTAGGTGACGGGAGGGAGATGGAGGCCACAGCCAGAGGAAGAGCATCTTTCTCCCAGCTGGTGACAGGAAGGTTTTGTGGACTAGATCAAGTGAGAGCCTGCTAGATGGAGGAGTAGGATTTCAATGACAGAGTCTGGGGAGCATTTTAGGCAGAGGGACCACTTGATCAAGGCTGGAGGGAGCAGGTGCCAAGTGCTTCTGTGGTGAAAGGGGAGTAGAAAGGGTTCCAGTCTGGCTGAAGTGAGAGGGACCAGGGGCAACTATTGGGAGATAAGTCAGGAAATGTGGCACACCACGGAGGCCCTTGAATGTCAGGCTATGGCGAATGCATTTTAAGCCATTGACCATAATGAGCAAATTGAAGTATCGGAGCAGGATTTGACATGATTAGGGGTGATCACTTCCCAGAAGTGGGTTATAGGATAGAGGGGGAAACTGGTGGGGTGTAGGCAGTGGTGAATATCCTGTGAAGAGGATTTGCTGAATTATGGCATCCACTGTGCGCAGAGGAAAGCATTGTTTTTATTGCCCACCAGGTGCTAAAGGAAGTTTAGTGCTCCCCAGAGGGAAGGCTTTGCTCCCTGGAGGGTGGGGTAGTGGGGGGTGGGGTGGGGTGCTGGGATGTGGCAGCTGTAGGAGGGCCAGTGCAGGAGCTGGGGCTCTTTAGCCTGAACAGTAAAAGGCTGGGAGTGGGTGGGCAGAGTTTCCGTCTGCACATTGACTGGACTGGCCTGCAGCAGGGAAGAAGGCCATGGTTCATTCCTACCTGTGGCCCCAGCACCTGGAAGAGAGCCTGGAACAGAGAAGGCACTTAGGAAATGTTTGTGGGTTGGGTCCAGAGGTAGAACCGGAACCAGCAGGTGAGAGGCAGATCTCAGCTCAACTCAAATTTTAAAAATGAGGATTGGCTAAAGACAGATGTGGTCACTTTAAGAAGGAAGGACATTCTTATCAAAGGGGTATGAGCAGATCAGCATGGCCACTGGGGCTGGAGTGGGGGAGTGAAGGGAGTGGCCTTTAAAGTCCTTCCCAATTCTGAGATTCTGGGATTTTATCTTCTCTAAAACCACTAGCCAAAGAAATAATGACAAATTAATGATTAAAAAAAAGGATGATAAAGACAGAAGCCTCCATATTGAACATCAGTGATGTGCCGGGTTCTTTAACTGCTTTATCTCTAATATTCATCCCACATAAAAGGAAACTGAAGTTCACATAGGTGAAGTAGTCTTCCCAAGGTCAATGGCAAAGCCAGGTTTTGAACCCACATCTGATTCCAAAACCTATATTCTTTGCAGTACACCTGGAAGGACCAATGGGATTTGGAAAGTGGGAAGTATCTGATATTTCTGCACTTTTCTCCAGATGAAGTCCTGGTCTGTCTCTGTGGCGTTGTGCAGATGAGGAACTCAGGTTGGCTAGGGCAAGGTGGGGGCAGAGGAGATAAGAAAGATCATGTGCAATACAAAGATGAGCTGAGATGTGAAAGATCTAGTCATTACTAATATGTCTGGAATTGGAGGCCTGACAGAGAAGGCACTGTGGGCTGGACACCTCTGGGTGAGCTGGGGCACCCATGGGGACAAAGGACAGACCAGAGAAAGTGGGTTCTTGTGCTGGATACTGAAGACTGTGGTTTCTAGGTGGAGACCATAGGAGATGCCTACATGGTGGCATCAGGTCTGCCCCGACGCAATGGAAGCTGGCATGCGGCTGAGATCGCCAACATGGCCTTGGACATCCTCAGCTCTGCGGGCAACTTCCGGATGAGGCATGTGCCCGACGTGCCAATTCACATCAGAGCTGGCCTGCACTCAGGTATGGACTGGCAGCCACCTGTGACAGGCCACAGCAGTCTCCCAACTCTTCCAGGGGCATTGGCTGGGGCTCCCCAGCGGTGTACTTCTAGAATCCCAAAATTCTGAAATTCTATGACATCACTCTCTACCTTCAGTTTGGACCCAACTGAGAGAGAGATGCAGGCATCTGGGCTAGATGTCAGCTTCAGCAGCTCAGAGAAAGTGGTCTGGATAAGTGGCCAACACAGGGCTTTCTACTCCCTTTTCCCCATGGAGTAGACCTTGGAGCATCCATCTGAGGCCGAGCTGCAGAGATAGAGTCTACAATAATAACAATAACAATAAAGAACCATTGTAAGGCTCTGAGATAAAAATCAAAGAATCTGCAATGCTCAGATTCGAATCGCTCTCTCCCTCTTTTTTTTTTTTTTGTTCAGCATCCGTCAAGGGCATTCAAGTCTGTGTTGAGGAGTTGATAGTTTGATGAAAGAGGCAGGATAGAAACTTTCTGTGGTCATGCAAAAATAAATGTTTGCTGTCATGGGTCTGGGAGAGAACTCAGGGTCTCTAATATATCCCTCACTTGCCCTGACCCCCACTCCTTTCTCCCCACATGGTTCTCCTCTCCTACAGGATAAAATCTGAGCTCCCCAAGGTCCTTGCTAACCTCTTCAACCTCATCTGCCACTACTCCCTGTTTGACTCTCCACCCATATTCACTACTCACTGCTTGCTGTTTCCCGTGTACACATGGCTCTGTGCCTTTGCACCTGCTGTTCCCTGCCCGCCTGTTTTCTTATCCTTCTAGACACAGCACATGAATTGCCTCCAGGATATCTTCTGGGCTGGGCTGGGTCAGAGGCCCCTTTCTGTGCTGGCACAGCCCTGATGTTTCCCTTGCCTCAACAGTGACCACAATTTACAAGTTTCCTTCCACTAGGCTTGGAGCTCCCCAAGGGCAGGGACTGGTTCCAATTGATCTCTGTCCCCCATTCCCAATCCAGAGCCTGGTACAGGTGTCGCCTTCTGTCTGAATGTCAAGGAGACTCCATGGCTTCATTCTCACCCCTCAGCTGGAGTCCAGGATGTGGGGTGGGGAATGGTGATGGGAGGAGTGGACAAGGCTGTCATTGGACCTATCTCTGGTCCAGGACCTGCTGAAGCTCACTGGGCACATTTGGGTTTCAGGGCCCTGTGTGGCAGGGGTTGTGGGCCTCACCATGCCTAGGTATTGCCTCTTTGGAGACACTGTCAACACTGCATCCCGGATGGAGTCCACAGGGCTGCGTGAGTATCTCATACTACATCCTGCCCCGGGAGAAGGTAATCTCCCAGTGATCCCTGAAGCAGTGCTTAGTAACCAAATCACCACCTGGTGGCAGCAAACTCTTGTTGTCAATGAAGTAACTTTCAGGAGGCGACGTATGTCATTGGTCCTTTTAATTTTCCACAAGGTTTTTGCAATTATCTCATGAAGAAATTAGTAGAGAAAGCACTGACTCAGCGGGCAGGAAACCTGGGTCCTAGCCCTGGCTCTTCACCTGGCTTGCTTGGTGTCCTTGAACAAATTGCTCTTCCTTTAGCCCTTGGTTTCCCCCACCTTTACAATGAAGACACCATTGCAGGTTTTTTAAAAATTATTATTTTAATGTCATTGTAGGTCCTTTCTGGCAGCAGGGATCACTCTGATGACACGGTTAGAACAGCCAAAAAGTTGAGGTCCAAGGGCCTTGTCTTTTGGTTGCATAGTTTGTGTGTTCATTCATGTTCAATGCAAGATGTGGCAGCCCTACTGGAAGTTCTGCTCTTCAAAGAAAAATGAAAACTGTTTATTTTCTCTGACTCAGTCTTTAGAGGCTTTCCTACAAGTGAAATTATGTTCCTAGGTGTTCTGACTTTATTCTGAGTTCCCTCTAATACTCAATGTATTACGTACTTTGTTTCTCTCAGAGCCTCTATTTCATCACCCTGTTAAAGGGATGAGAGGACCAGTACAACTGGTTGGAATTGGGGGTGTTACACTCAATGATTTTAACAAATATTAGGTACGCTGTCACCAGGTAGTGACTTGATGACTACCATTCTTCTTAGCATACAGAATTCATGTCAGCCGAAACACTGTCCAGACACTGCTCAGTTTGGATGAAGGCTACAAAATTGACATCAGAGGTCAGATTGAGCTAAAGGTGAGAGAATTTATTTTCTGGGGTTTTTGGAAAAAGTCCCCAAGGGTCCAATTTCTGTGGGCAGCAGAAGAGATTTTCTGATTGATGTGGCCGAAGGAAAGGGCTGCATGACATTGGGGATGGAGCTGATCACATTTACATGACCTCGCTATTCCCCCAAAGTTCTCAGAGCCTGAGGAAATTTCTTGAGAGACACTCCTTCATTTTGTTTCTTGTGAGAAGAAGAGCCAGGACAGAGAAATCACCGGGGCAGCATGGTAGTGAACAACATACAGTAATGTATTTATCGCTCAAAGCTATCATAAAAGGAGGATCATTGTCCACATTTTATAATCCACTGCCATTGAGTTGATTCCAACTACTGGTGACCCCCATTGGGTTTCCAAGGCAGTAAATGTTTATGGAACTAGATTGCCTACTCTTCCTTCTGTAGAGTAGCTGGAATGACTGGTAGGTTTGAACCACCAACCTTCTAGTTAGCTGTCAGATGCCTTAGGCACTATACTACCAGAGTTCCTTGTCCACATTCTATAGGTGAAGAAATTGAGCCAGAGAGGCAATGTGACTCGTCCAAAACCACACAACTCTTAACCCAAGACTGGTGGTTCCAAAGCCTGTGACTTCTCCATAGCACTATTGGGCTCCTTTTATCCCTCAGAACCTTAGTTCAGACATGACCAAGGGTATTCCTGATCCAAGAACACCCTTCCTCCTCCTTTTCCCCAACAGTGATCATCATGCCTTCTCTGTACACCCACCAGTCCCATGGCCAGCCCTCTGTGTTGTAGGTATGATGTTGGGTTGTGTGTGCCCATGAGCACCTCAGAGGCAGAGATGGGTTTTATAACTTCTGCATTCTTTTAAGTGTTAACACAATGTTGGTGATGGCACAATGTTCCTAACCAACTCCCTCTAATTCCTCAGTTCCTCAGCTAGAGATAGGCCTAGTAGGGGGACTGCAGCAGCCCATACATTTAGTGACCTGGAGCTGTGACTGGAGTCCAGAAATTGTGTACCACATGGGACTTACTTCATTACATTGTGCAGAGGAGCAGGAAGATAAAGTTCAGAGAGTGGCAACAACTTGTCCATGGTCACACAGCCTGCAAGGGCAGGTATATGTGGGACCCTTTGCTCTGGATGGCCAAGGTTATGGGAAAGTGAGATGAGTAAGTCAGGATAGGTGTGTCATATTTAGGGGAGTGATGGGTATCCTGAGGAACAGAGGACTGGGATGGAGGAGAGGGATTTAGAGAGGAGCTGGGGAAGGCAGAACACTGACCTCAGGTTCTTCAGGCTGACCTGGGGAGCTCCAAAGGGCAATATCCATCCCAGAAAGTTCTGGCCTGGAGTAGGGTATGGAGTTTCCAGACCAGCCAGCCTCAGCTCTCCTCATGCCCCCTTCACTCTCAGCCCCTAGGCAGCTGTATTCCCATTCCAGGAGAAGCTACTTGGTCCTTGAATAGTGATAGTTAGAGAGACTGACAAATTGCAGAATCCTGGGATCTTCTATTCCAGGTCTTCTGGTAGTGGAATTCATGATTCATTATTTATTTAATAGATGCATATTAACTTATTTGGTCCTCACAATAACTTTCTGAGGTACTGAGGAAGCAGAGGCACAGAGAGGTGAAGTAACTTGGCCAAAGCTACACAGCTCATAAGTAGCAGAGACAGGATTTGAACCAAGGCAGTCTGGTTCCAAGTTCTCTGCTGCTTTGGCTCCTTGTGAAAAGAAAAGCATGTTGGAATCATGCAACTCTGGCTTCAGTGTGAGAAGGTTTGCATGGGGAGGGGCCTTTCCACCCCCTCTTCTCTCTCTTCCAGGGGAAGGGTGTAGAGGAAACCTACTGGCTGTCAGGGAAGGCAGGTTTCTCCAGACCTCTCCCCACACCTCTGGACATCAAACCTGGGTAAGTGAAAAGGATTTCGCCCCAAAGCCTGGATTCTTTTATTATTATTATTATTATTAAAATTATGTGATATTTGTTACTTTTCTGGATACAAAATTATGACTTGTCTATTGTGGAAAACTTGGAAAGTTCAAAATTGTTCAAAAATGAAAATAATCACCACCTTTCCATTCCTGAGAAGCAAGCACGTTAGCATTTCAGCACTTTTCCCTCCAGCCTGTTTCTGAGATGTTTGGCTCAGATGAGCTCATGCTGCTTGGATCATGTTACATTCTGATGTGTGCTTTCCACTCAAGGCCCTGAGCACCTTCCTGTATTGTTCAGAGCACATTACAAACACACATAGTAACTGCATCAAGACTGCAACGCATGGGCATGTCACACTTTACTCAGCCTTTCTCTCATGTTGTGCATTTAGAGTCTTTGCATTTTGGGCTGATTACAGGCCATGAGTTGGTAAGTATCAGTATGCGTTCGTCACCATTCAGACCATTTCCTCAGCCAAGAAGTCTATGGATCATAGAACACCCACATTTTAGGGGCCAAATGAAACTGGCTCTCAGAGAGCTTGTGCCTGGCCAGCAGAGTTTGGCTTCCCTTTTTCCTTTGGGACCCATGTCCCTTACCGAGATGAACATGGGTGGGGCCGGGGGGAAAAGAACATTTTCATTCCATCATGACATTCCTCACACCCTTCCATTCAAGCATAGACAGTCCACAGCAGGGGCACAGATGTTGCCAACTGCTGAGAATATTAGTGTCATTTCTAGGAGAAAGGCCTTGGGGACCACAGAGGCCAATGGGGTTATTTCACCAGATGAGAAGCTGAACCCAGACATGGGCAGGGTCCCACTGGGGTCCCACATAAAGACTGTATCAGGGTTTGAGCCTGAGTCCAGGCTTGTTGTCTCCTGCCCAGATTTTTTCCTTCATCAGAAGTTCTGACTGGTTCCCTCCCAGCATTTTCAGGCTGACCCCCTCCCATCACTCAAAGATGAGAAATATGTGGGAGACATGTGGGCTTCCTGGGAAAATGACCAGGGTTGAAGCAACCCAGACTGAGTGTCCTCCAAAGGGCTATGGCAGGAAGCTGGTCACAGCAGCAATTTCCTTTCTGTCCGGCTGTTGGGTTGTCCCATAGCCTCAGGAACCCAGGAAATGGGGCAGAGCAATGCTGAGGGCAGGGATTGCCCCTGTCCATCCCTGAGCACCCACACAGAGGAGATCCCAGGGAGGGAGGGAGGAAAAAGGGAGAGATGGGCAGGCTCTGGCATGCAAAGGAGCTTCCAGGGCACAGAACACACACAGCCATGTAAACAAGGGCACGCCAGCCTCCTCGGTGCAGAACCAGCTTATGCTCATGGAGAGGTTCCACCCAGCCCAGGTCCATCAGCTCCATCAGCTTTCCAGACAGTCTTTGTCTGGGCTGTTTGGTGGGGGAGTAGCTTGGTGTGAGGACAGGGATCAGGTCTGGTGTGCCTTAGTCCCTTCTCCTCTCTGGGCCTGGCTCCAAGGGCCCTTCCAGCAACTATATTAGAGTCCAATTTTCTTCCCAGGTGTCACAACAGCTGCAGCGTCCCTCTACCCAATTTCTAAGTAGAATGGACTGTGGCCCTTTTTGCCACTCTTCCACCACAGTCCTCTCTTCCTTGCATCTTCCCAGCAGCCTGTGAACACGCCTGACTCTCTTGCACCTTCCAGAGCAAGACTTCCTTTGACCTTTAAGGCCCAGCCCCCCACCCCACTTGAGAGCTGCTGATACTGACTTCATTTCCTCATGCTTACTCCCTCCTCCACCCCACCCCACCCATAGTGTGACTTCCATCCTCACCAGTACAGCCCACTCTTAGGAAGGTCACCAGTGACCTCCATCCATGTCACTAGACCCATGGGTAGTATCATTTCTCAACTTGACTGCTCAGCCACATTTCCCCTTCTTCCCTCTGCCTAGAAATGCAGTCTTCCCTGACCTCTGGCACCCACCCAGCTATGCTCCCTCCTCCACTTGTTTGTCTCAGGCTCCTTTGCCAACTCCTTCTGTCTCCCCCAGGACCCCTCCCTCTCTGTCATTGCCACCTCATACACACCCAGGCCTTCCCTTACTACCCAGACACTTCATGTCCTTGGGGCCCCAGTCTCCCCTCTGAGCTCCAGACCCATGTAGCTCACACCACCCTCCTCAATTCTTTCTGGAGCTCTCACACACCTTAAGCCCATTGGGTCCACCCACCCTCACAACCTGGTCCTTCTCCAGAATTTTCTTCAGTGAGGGCATTGCCATGGACAACCCCATCAGACAGATGCTATCCTGGGTGGTATCGCTCACCACCTGCCCCATCTAATCTGTCAGTTCATCTGATGGCCCACTGTTTCCCATCTCCACACTTCTGCCTGATCCATATCTCCCTCACCTTGCCCCTGGACTTCTGTTGAGGCTCCTTACCAGCTCCCCTCACCCACTCATGCTCCCCTTGATCCATTACACAACAGCCAGTGATCGTTTAATACAGCCATCATCAGTCTGAAAGCTCCCTGTTGGACATCTCCTGTGCCTTCCTACTGCTAAAGCCTGAACTCTTCATGAAGCCTCCAAGGCCTGGCAGGGGCTGGCCTCTGCCCTCCCCACTGCCTCAACTTGCCTACCACCTGCCCCTGCTCAGCACCTGCTCCCAGCCCTCCCAAGCTGTTCCTTAAAACATGCCAAGCTTTTTCCCACCTCAGGGCCTTTGCTTTTGTAATTCCCTGGACCTGGAATGCTCTGCCTCTGGATGTCTGCAGGTCTGATCCCTTCCTATCACACAGGTCTCATGCTGACATGCTGCTAAACCAAGCCCATCTGGGCTGTCATCCTCTAGCCCATCTTCCAGCACAGTGCTCTCTGTGTTGTTGGTGGGTGTCATTGAGCTGATTTTTTCAACTCACAGCAACCCTATGTGACAGAGTCAAACTGCCCCATAGGGCTTTCTAGGCTGTAATCTTGACAGGAGCACATCTTCAGGTCTCTCTCCCGCAGAGTGAGTGGGTGGGTTCAAACCACCAATCTTTTGATCAGTAGCTGATCACTTAACTGTTGCACCACCAAGGCTCCTTGTGGTTTCCATAGCACATAGAAATATCCGTTGCCTGATATTTCTCCCTGACACATTTATGGGACTTTCCCCTGCCCATATAAGCTTCGTGAGATCCTGGGCGACTGGTGTGCCTGGCCATCCATCAGTGTCTGGCACACGGGGAACAGAAGCTACCAAGTCTCCTGTGCACCAGAGGAGCTCTGTCTATGTCGGCGGTGGGAAGCCCAGCCCCCAGTGCTTCTGGCCCATCCCATCTTGGGATTGGGAACCAGGGGTTCTAGTAGCCATTTGTCATCTCCAGCTCCCTCAGTTGATGACTTTCCCACTTCTGGACAGAAACTTAAGAAAGTGCCAGCGATATTTTCATCTTCTTGGCTCAGGGAGGGAGGAGATTGGAGATTAGTCCCAGAAAGCACCACTTGAACTTTGGAGCCTCCTAGGCCTTCAGGCCTGCAGGGGAGAACCACAGCATCCACCTAGACACACGGACTTAGAACGTTTACAGAGGTACAGGTGCACACGTGCATACACACGTAGACACACATGCACACACGGATGTGCACACACAATACTTATCATGAGCATAGGATATGTGCACACATGGAAACAACCTCACATGCCCATGCACTTGCCTGGAGATGAGATCACAGACAGACACAATCAGGGGCTTTCAGTGCCATTGGAGCGGAACCTGTTTTTTGTTCCCAGGATAGTTATCAAATTTTTACTTGAATCGTATGTTATAGCTTGATTTTTTAAAAGAGTAGTTTCCTAAAGATGATTTCTTCCTCATCTTAGCCACCAGGGCTTCCATATGGGCAGAAATGATTTATTTTTACATTTGGGGATGTCTGGGAGGCTGGTTGAGATCAAGGAAAGGGAACAAAAGTCCCCACCCAAGCAACAGTGCACACAGAGGTGCTTCCTATTACAAGTGACAGAGACACTTGGCACAGTGGCTTTTCCGGCCCCTGCCAGGCTGCTGTGAGGTCCTGGCTGCCATTTGGAGCCTATTTCCACGCCTGTGTAAAGGTGATATCCCAGCTTGTATTAGTCTCCTAGAGCCCCTGTAGCAAAGTAGCACAAGATGGGTGGCTTAAAATGAAAGAAATGTATTGTTTCACAGTTCTGGAGGCGAGTTGTCTGAGTCCAGGGTGTTGGCAGGGCCATGCTCTCTTGGAAGGCTCTAAGGGGAGATTGTTTCTTATCTCTCCCATCTTCTGGTAGCTCCAGGTATTCCTTGCCTTAGGGCTGCAGTGCAACTCTGTCTTGTCTTTACACGGGGCCTTCTAACTCTGTGTCTCTTCTCCTCTTTCATAAGGACACCTCTCATATTGAATTAGGACCCACCCCACTCCAGTATAAACTCCTGTTACCCTGATAACATCTTCAAGGGCCCTGTTTCCAAACAAGGGTCACATTTACAGGCAGCAGGTATTAAGATGTGAGTGTTATCTTTTTTGGGATAGCAATTCAATCCATCACCCAGCTTTTTTCAAAGAGCCCTGGTGACACAGTGGTTAAGCACTCAGCTGCTAACTGCCTCTGTGGGAGAAAAGACCTGAGGAACTGCTCCCCTACTCTGTCACTTGGCAGTCAGTATGAGTTGGACTCATGGCACCTAATAACAACTTTCTCCAGGCAATTGTGGGCAGCAAATGAGAAAATGAAAGTGACTGCAGGGGGCAGCCCAGTGCTCCCACCTGGAATTTACATAACACCCACATTATATAAATAACCTGCAGGCCCACCAAGGTCATGCTCTGAGAAGGGGGCAGAGCTGGGGTTATTTCTCATCTCTTGGGAGGCCACTGGGCTTGAAGCTCAGTCCCCAAAGTTCAAAAGGGGGGAGGGTCACAGTGGGCCCATGGCAAGGCTGCTGCAAGGACCAGGGGACACAAAATGAGAGTGGCTTCACTGCCAGCAGGGGTGGTGGTTTTATGATGCTTGTTTTTCTCTTTTCCCTAGAGACCCCTGGCAGGATCTCATAAACCAAGAAATCAAGGTGGCTTTTGCCAAAGCGCGCCTGGGCACAGCTGGGACCCGGAGCTCAGGAAAGGCCTTGGCAGGGCCTTGAGGAGAGGAACTGTGTGGGGCAGGTGCCTAGACTGGCCTTAGAGAGAGACTCTCTATCTGCACCCCCACCCGTTCTCCCTGCTCCACTCTGCTCAAAGAATTCTCTGTCTGAGCTCCCTGGTGTCAACTATGTGCTCATTAGTAAGTGCCCTAGAGCGACACAAATTGATGCATTCCTTTATGAATCCTAGGGGTAAACTCGCCTCTTGACACAAAAACAATAAGAATAGAAATATTCCCTTCCTTTCACACAGTTCTTTGTTCTTGACAAAATGTTTTGATGTGGAGAGCTCATTATATTAAGAGAGCTCATCATTCCTCCCATGGGGATACTGTCCCCATTTTACAGCTGAGCTGCCTGAGGCCCAAAGGGAGGAGATCATTGACAGCTTGGGGTGTGCAATGTGGGGCAGAAGCAAGACCAGGGCCAGGGGCTGGAGCCGGCAGATGAGGGCTCCAGGCTTAGCTGGGTGACCTACTTACATCATGTCATTTCTCGAAGCCTCTCTTTTGTCATTGCTAGAATGGGTGTTGAGAGGATTTTAAAAGTTCTTAACATAAGGCTGGGCCCACAGAAAACTCTCTGAGTATGTCACCTCCTTCTCTGCCTTTCTTCCCTGATCAAGCCCAAATGTTTGGGCAGTTGTGAGCACTGTGTTGAGAGTCCAGGCCTTGGGTTCCCAGAATCTCAGGACTGGTGGGGGGAGGAGGGTAAGAATTTCTTGGCTCTCAGCAAAAAGAGACTTCTGTCTTACAGGAAAAAAAGAGAAAGAAACCCACAACCAACTCATTAAACTGGCTTGTGACATCAAAGAATGTTCACCAAATACCCGCTGGTGATTTCTAAGCAGGGAAATCAGGCACACGTGGGATTCATTTACCAGATGAAGGGGAGAGGGCTGGGGGCTGCAGGGGCAGGTTAAATCCTAAACAAACTCATCCTTCTTCAAAAGACCCCTCAGGAGGGGAGAGCTGTCACTGAAACTTCAAACAAGGGGGTCGTTGGGAAATGTTTCTTCTGGGGCTGAGCCCACAAAGGCCCAGCTGCTTCTGTGTATGGTATATGTGTTCATGCACTTGGTGTGCTTGTGTACGTATTGTGTACTATGCCTATGTATGTGTGCACATATTGTATACATGTGTGCCTATGTGCATGTATGTGTACATGTATGTGTGTGCATGTGTCATTCAAGCAAGGTCCCACATACTCATCTGCACCCTACGCATCCATTTCTCTGGCCACAACAGACTGTTTACTCTTTTCCAAGCCCTTCGTGATGCAGCATGATGCTCTGGCTGTTTTCTTTACCTGAATGTCTTTATCCTGTTTTCCTATCTGGTGAACTCCTACTCATCCTTCAAAGTCCAATTAAAAAGCCACCTCCTTTTTAAACCTTCACCAACCCTCCTCTTTATATAACTAGTAGTTTCCATGCTTGACTCCAGGAATCAAGTTCATTTCTCTGGTCCAATGCCCAGAAGAAGGCATGCACTAGGAGGCTGAATAGATGAGTGAACGAATGAATGGACAACTACTGCAAGTTGGCCCAGAGGCTTTTCATGAACAATCTCCCCTCCTGCAAGGTCAGCTCCTGAGGTCCCTAGCCTAGTTTCTCCTCTGCTGTTCTCTGCATCTGGACTTAGTTAGCCTAATGCTTAGATGGGTTTCTGCATGCCTGGCATGGGCAGCGTTGTGTGAGCTGTGGGCTTCCATAGCTTCCTCGTCTCTCTGCACCACCATCCCTCATGCTGTGATGGACACTCTCACAGCCCCTCAATCAGCCTGGAGTGCTCTTTCCCAGCCCCTCTGCTTCCCATCTCTTCTGGCCAACTCCTCCTCACCCCTCAAACCTCAGCTCCTCTGCTATTTCCTCCAATAAGCCATCCCTGAAACCTTCCCCACCCCCCAGCCCCAGGCTACCCCTTCCAGCACTGACCACACTCTAGACGTGGCCTATGTCTGGGGGCTTCCTAAGAGCAGGGCTGGGTTTAAGCCCTGTGTCGGTGATCTCAGCCTCTGGCACAGGGTTGGGCACAGACTCTGCGAGTGAAGTTTGGTGGGATGAAGAAATAGAATGGGGTGGGGGAGGGGGAGGAGGCCACTGTGGTGGCAGGTGAACCTTGCTTTAAGGGAAATCCATATGCATGAAAATCCAGATTAGAGCTGTTGGAACTGAGTCTACACTGACAGGGGAGGTACAAGGATGTGGTGTGGATGTGGATGTGTGTGTGTGTGTGTGGAGGGGACGCATGTGTGCTGAGCACCTATGGCATAGAGGGTCTCTGGCAGCTGTTCTCATAGCCCCAGGAAGTGAGTGCCATCATCCCCATTGATGAGTAAAGAAATGAGGCTCTGTGGTGAGGACAGATTGGACAAAAGGCAGAGGTGAAGTGACACTTTGGGAGCTGTGCGATGCCTGAGCCTGTGCTTTTTCCTGAAGCTCAGCCATGCTGCCTCTTGTCCCGGCTCTGCCCCTGGGCTTCCTTGCACAAATCATTGCTGCTAGAGACCCAAGTGTCCCTATCACACGGGCCGAGTGAGACTGAGTCTCCACCGTCCCCTTAGGAGGGATTTCATGTGTCTGCAAGCCTCTTCAGAAATCCACTAGGGGGCAGGCAAGTTATTCCAGAAAGAACCAGGAGCCTCTCTTGCAACCCTGGAGATTTCTGGAGCTCCTTCCCGGGTGGCAGGGTCCCTGGGTGTGGTGGTCCCAGTCAGGGGAGAGAGAATGGGGATCCACAGAGTGATAGTGAGGCCCCACCCCACGGAGGACTCTTGCTTGGGGAAATCACCCTGACGACCGAAGGACAGTGAGAATGGCAGGCCTTACTCAGTGTGCTATTCCCATCCAAAGGACCTTGCTGATGTCAAGTTTCAAAGGTTTGTCCAGTCTCCAGTAATTTGCATTTTCCATTAACTAACACATAGGTGATGCACAGTTGTTTATAAAGTGCCTTCCTGGACTTCAGTTTAGGTAGCCTACCATGCCCTCTCCTGGAAGGTAGGTGTAACTACTCTTGTTCTATAACCAACAGAGTGAGGTGTTCCGGGCGGTTATCTTCTCTTCCTGACAGGAAGCCCTCTTTCCAGGATCCAGCTGCCTGCTGGCTATCTCTTCAATGAACCAAGGGTCACCTGACCATGCTGTGCCCTGTTGGTCAAGAACCAGGAGTAGTAACTTTTTCTTCCCTGTCCTTCCCATGACAGCCCTGCCCCAATCCCCATAATCAATCACTAAGTCCCTTCCAGTCCACTACAATGGTCTGTTTTTGTGCAGGCCTCTGTTTTTGTCAGGCTGTCCTTCATGATGGCACCAGCCTCCTAGCTGCCCCACCTGCCTCCATTCCCTGCACTGGTCAATCCTACCCCCAGAGCCTTTACCTGAAGCATCAACTTGCTGTGTCATCTTCTACCAACATGCTCCCCACTGCCTCAGCCTCCTGACCACATGGTTGAGGCTTTTGACCGTGGAGATCTTGCTGACTCACCCCACCCTCTCCCCTGGCTGCCCAGCCCTTTCCCACCCTCATGCCTTGGCCCATCTTATCTTCTCAAATTGCTCAGACACTCCCTTTCAACCTAAAAAAAAAAAACCTAGAAGATTTTTATTATGAAAAAGGTTCCAATGAATAGTTATAACAACTCCCACCACCACCACCACACATAACTACCTAAAGCTGGTAACCTTTTCCTGTCACCTTTGCGTCCAGGTGCAAATTCCTGTCAGTTTCAGGAACATCATAGTGAACTACTCAGTCCATTTCTAGAAGGGCCACTGTTAGTATGTATATGGCCTTGGGAAAGCAAGGCCACAGGGACAGCCTCTGTTCTCCCAATGTATCCACCTTGAGCCCACACTTAACACCTTGCTACAGCTCTAAAACCAGATCCATAAGAACGAAAGAGAGATTTTACTGAAGATTTCCTGGGAGTCAGGGAAGAGAGCTGACATCGCAAATCACACAGCCAAACTTTGTAAAACTGCTTTAAGCTTCTCTGTTCTTCCTCCCAGAGTCCTCTCCCTGGCAGCTGCCTTACCTTCTTCCACACCATTCCACATCAAATCCCCCTTTGTCCCAAGCCAATCGGCACCTAGTCTCAGCCTGCTGCTTTAGTCTTCATTACCCTAAAGCAACTACAGATGGATAAAAGGCTGAGGAGCTTTCTAAAGGGCTGACACAGGCAGGCTGTCTTCAATACTCTCCCTGTGGGCAGTCCATGAAAGGATCTTTATTTCACTGGAAAGAGAGGGAATGAATACATATGGAGTATCTGCAATTTAGTCCTTACTACAATCAGGCAAGGTACTATTATTCTCCCCATTCTATAGATGCAGCTACAGACTCAGTCCAAAGTCACCTGACATCCAGTGGCAGCACCTGGCCTGGACTCCAAAGCTCCCCACCCCATGCCTACTACCCTGTCTGCCTTATAGGCCCCCAGTCATATACTACATGGAAAAAAGATGACATAGACATAGTGACAGCCTCCATCACCAGCTGCAGGGTGGGGCTCAGCAAATGGAAATGAGGTGAGGTCTGGAGAAGAAGGCAAGTGAGGCAAGGGCCCAGGTAAACCAAGGCCAAGGATTAGGTGACTGAATAGCGAATGGAAGAGCTGAGTGGGGCAGATGCCAGAGTGTGCTGTGGATAGAGGTCAAGATGAGGAGCACAGTATAAGTGTGCAGCAAGAGATTGAAAAGAACAGAGAAGTCAATAATCCTGGTGGCCCAGGAGCCATTTAAAGGGCTGAGTCAGACCTTCCCAGGCTGTATTCATGGCTCTTACTGAGGGCGCCCATTGTTGTTTGTTGTTGCTAGGTGCCACTGAGACAATTTTGATTCATGGCAGTCCTATATGACAGAGCAGAACTGCCCCATAGGATTTTCTAGGCTGTGGCCCAGTGGATTAATTGTTGAGCACTCAGTTGCTAACCTAAAGGTCAGCTGTTCAAACCCACCAGCTGCTCCATGGGAGAAAGATGTGGCAGTCTGCTTCCAT